ATATATATATACACAATATATATACATTTTTTTGCGTGGGTGCTCACATTATATTTTAAATGCGACCTCCATCTGACTTCAGTGTGAACTCTCGACGGCCCTGATGTGACCTGCATGTGCAGAAAATGACGTGACATCACATTCAGCTGGCTGTTTACAGAAGTAAATATGGATGCTTCATGTTAGTATTCCAGTTCTGAAGTTGCTGTGCAATCAGGGCCAATTAAATAATTATCTAACATGTTTGCTCAGTGTTTACATTTGAACCTGCCTCTGGCCGGCTGCTCCGGTGCGGCGTGTATTTATGGAACAGGAGCGACGTGATGGGAATAAAGTATCGATGCAGTAACTTTAGCATCGATTTGGTCTGAGACCGATGTTACAAACATTTGTTTTTGTGGATTCTCAGTCATTCAGGACTTGGAAAATTAAAAGAAGAAAGATAAAGCAACTGGACTTCTGTTCTGTAGATGATGTGTGGAGCTACAAGATTTAAACTGCATGACTCCAGGTTGGTAGCATTATTCCTTGGCCCGATGCGCTCACCCAAACCTTACTGACGTAAATGTCAGATGAAATATATCATGAGCGATCAGACTCAGGTCGCTTTGAAAATCATCTGATATGTGTCCGATTTAGTACCGCATACTGAAAAGGCTTAGGTCTAAAAAAAAAAAAAATTTTTTTTGCATTTAGACTGTCAGGAAAAATATCCGATACGGGTCGCATGGGGCAAAAAAAAAAGTCTACATTTGCCTGTAGTGTGAATGTAGCCAAGATTCATCAATATTTAATACATAAAGAATGTTCTAAGTGTGAAACTGACTGTCTTCAGCATATATCTGCCTGATGTTGTTTACTGTATCACACATTAAGTTCAAGTTCATGCAGCCACCAAAGCAGGCATGCACTGCACTTCTACAGAGTCGAGGAAAATGAAACTTGTCTTTCTCAGCTACATGCCACACCATCTTTATTTTCAGATAACAAACACTCGTCCGATCCTTCTGAACTGCATCTATCGCACATATTATTTCGTTTGCATCTGTATGCTCCCTCGATACGACAAATCATTCGACCCAGCACACCCTGCCCCCAGCATGCCTTCCTCTTTCCCTCCCATCTGCTGTGCTTTCTCAGGTCGTGCAAAGGAAGGAGAGTGAAATACCTGTTCCTCCGGGCTCGTTACCTAGTGAGAATGGCAGACCTGTGTGTTTGTGTGTTAGTGTTTGCGTGTCTGTTGGTAAAAGAAAGGAGGGAAGAGGCGAGGTGATGTCCTCTCTGTGGCGTATGGATAGCCTGGGCACTTAAAGGGTTAAAGGTGTCTGAGTTGCCCTCACCCCCACAAACTGATCGACTGAGACCTTCAGCGAGGAGGATGGGGATGAATGAGGAAGAGTGGCTAGATGTTAATGGGTCATGTTGAAAAATGTGTTTGATTGATGGAGGTTGAGCCAAAAAGAATTAAAAACAGGAGGGACTGCATCAGAAAAGGCCGCAGGCTGTGGAAATAATGACCCCTGGTATCTGTTTCTAACATACAGCACAAAAATTAACTTGCATAAACTTGCTAAATGTAATGGAAAATACCACTCTGTGCTACGTCCTTTTTTAATCTAACTTGTAAAGTAAATATAACAGGTTGTATTCTAAACTTTTAATAAACTCCATACCCCAGTTTTTGATTCCTCTAACCATGAAAGTCTCATAAATTTACATATAAACAGTACACAGATGAGACCATAAAATATGTAAAACTTGATGAAGAAACATATAAAAATGTTAATTTGCCAGCTTATTCTGATCTGAAACTTAAACGTTTGTAATGTTGCGTAACTTTTAGATGTGCTCTCCATTCCGTAAAAATCTGGTGAAAGTAAGAGGGTCTACAATTTATTTTAGAAAAATCAAATGAGCATGTGGAGCAGCTCACTGTTTTTCACTCTGCTGACTCGTGACTGTGCAGCAACGCTCAGCTTTACCAGTGGCGATCTGATCTGATCAGAAAGACTGACGAGTCAATGCACAGAGAGGGGTGCAGTGACTGGTGCAATGTCAGCAACCTATCTCTGAATGTGGATAAAACTAAAGAGACGGCTAATGACTCCAGGAGAGATAACAAAGAGATAACAAAGTGACCACTCTCCACTAATCACCGATGGAGTCATTATCAAGTGCACTAACTTCTTCGATATTCCCTTGGAGAACCTCTTCTAGTCTCTTAATGATTTCATAATCTCAGCAGCATCTCTACTTTCTGTGAAGACTAAAAAAAGTTACCTCACAGAAGACATTCTCCTCACTTTCTACAGAACTATTAGGCTTGAGGAGTTGCATTCCTGACGGACCATGAGTCAAACTCAAGGCCCACTGGCCAAATGAGGCCTGCCACAATATTTCATATGGCCCGTGAGAGCTTCGAAGCTCTTTTAATGTCTTAAAATAACCATATGCTGCTTTAAAGCCATCGTTGACCATAAACTACATCTCCCATAATGCATGTTGATTATTTTACCCACAAACAGACGGTATTCCACCACTAGGTGGAGGTGCACAGAGTTCAAAAGTAGACAGTACTGGCACAATTCACAGTATAAAATTTCCATTTTGCTGTATTTTTATTGTCTATTTTTGCTGCGGCCCAGCTGAACTGGGAAGTGGAATATTCCCACTCACAACTTGTAAATTTAAACTAGAACGACCCCTCCAATGGGAATTCCCAGTCCGAAAATACAAGTTCAGAATTGAAGATGACGACTACCCATCACAACTCAGTAGTGAGTGAAACTCTTACTTCTACTTTTAACAGTATTTCTGTATTATTTATTTCACATTAAGTCAGTTGAAGTAGTACTACTGTACTAACACTTTTCAGTGTTTATAAGAGGATGTGTTAAAATGTTTCTATGCAGGAAATACCACGTAGAGTTCAGTTATTGTATGTTAGCGGTGCTCAGCTGTAGCAGCGAGACGAGGAATAAGAAGTTTAGTTGAAGTTAAACACGAAACGTAATAGTTAATTACATCTGGCCCATTAAGGGCCACCGTAATGCTCATGGGGCCCTTGGTGAAAATGTGTTTGACAGCCCTGCCTGCATTAGACCTAATTGCTCTTTGACAAATTACTATAATTTGGTTCTTCAGCAAATGTCTGCACTATTGATAAGCTTTTTTTTGCACTTTTCCCTTCATTTTTGCACCTTATTGGGAAGATCTTTGCAGATTTCCTTGTCTGTACTAGATGCACGGCCAATATGGTCATGTCATGTCTGCATACATTTAAAGTAAAGCAGTAGTGATAAACACATAAAGACACATCTCTTTACATATTGCTACTACGACACTAGCGCTCATCATCAGAGGAGACGTCCGCGTCTTTTATCTAGGCTTTCCAGCGACAAGCCCCTACTTGGGAGCGGCTACGTATGCTGTGTTTTTGGGAAATTGTAGTCGGTGAGTTTACTACTTTGTTTTACTACTTCTGTGATATTACTACTACTTCTACTTTCTGTTATCTTCTTTGCCAGTAGAAACAGCCGGTTGTTTGTCACGTGACTCCCGTGATGCGAAAAATGTTTTTCCATTGCAGTTTTGCGAAAAACACCAATTTCGATACGGCCGAAAAACCACCTCATCCTAGCGCAAAAACATTTTGTCGACGTGACGTGTTTCCATTGAACAAATTTGTTTTCAAAATTCTAATTTGCGCATTTTCATGGTCTATGGAAACGCAGCTAGTAAAAGTCTTTCTGACTTGAACTCAAAGCCTATTTGTCTCATTACTAAGTTTGCTGTATGTTAGGAATAAGAAGGGTGTGAGAGGAATGTCTTGGGACCATCAGGAACAGAGAGAAAATGGAGCTCAAATGAGGAGGGAAAGGAAAAAAGGAATCTGAAGAGGAAATATGGGATCAGTAAGGAGGACTAAGGCTGTAGGAGGAGTGTTGGTAAGAAAGCCTTTGGTGGACAAGTTTAGGGATGTGGATGCAGAAGAAGAGAAAGGGATGACTCACGGCCTGGTCGGAGGAAATATCAGAGCGCCAATGGTTGGAAAACAGGGAGAAGAAGGAAACGGGAGCAAGGTAGATTGGGAGGAAACATGTTCATAAGGAGCACGTGGTGATTATTAATTTATTAGGTAATCAAACAGTAAAAAGGGATGATGTTAGGAAAAGGGTGTTTGCCATGATTGTTACTGGTTTTTTKGGGGGGGGGGGGTGCAGTTGAACTACACTCTTAAAAACTAATTAGGCTGTCAGCATTACTGCATAGATTGTTACAGGCAAATAGCCATCCATTAGAACACCTTTATGCAAACCATGACTGAAACTGGAAACCTCAGGTTACCTCTGGAGAGTCGTCCAAAATGGATTATCAAGAAAACATCATGAGGCCCTTTTAGGTTTTAGAGTGTAGGTCAAAATAGAAATATGAGGAACACATTTAGTTGAAGGATGTGTGGTGGTTATTGAGATGAAGGTGGCAATGAAACTCAGAGAAAGACCTGTTGATAAAATGTCACAAACGACGGTGACTAGTAATGAAACAGACAGTACTGGATGAAGAAACGGAAAAATGACGTCCTCCAGAAAAAGGAAACAAACTAAAAGTAAACACAAAGACTAACGCAACATCTGAAATAAGAAAAACAAAGAATAACATTGAGGGAAGTACTTTGAGACATAAGAAAACATAACATAAAGTAGACAACAGGAAGCGAGTGGTGAAGAAAGAACAAAAAAAAGATGATTTCTGACGTACAGCCGGCTAGCAACGTCCCGGTGTACGGAGTGTACGAGGCTGAGCAACCAGGGTCTTTCTGTGGATCGTGGAATGTGTGTGTGTATATGTGTGTGTGCATGGTGAAGGGGATGAAGGTGAGGGGGTGGTGGGGGACACTTACGTGAAGGCGAAGGCCACCAGAGCACCACTAACCACTATAAAGTCCAGAATGTTCCACAAGTCACGGAAGTAAGATCCTTGGTGGAGGAACAAGCCCAGCACCACCATCTGGAAGACATGACGTTTGCTCAGAACAACATACTGTTTGTCCGTATACACATGCACTTTTAGAACCGGCATGAACATTCACATGCAAGTCACTGTAACTTACACAAACACACCGGTTATCAGACAAAAAAAAAAAAAAAAAGAAAACATCACAAAAAAGTAAAAAGTGCTCATTGTGACGTCTAACTAGTTAAAAGGAATCATTTAGTACAAATAAAACAAATATTCTAACATAATCACCACAAACATCCAGGCCGGCACTAACACACTGATACTTTGTTACCTTGATCAACATTTCAAATGTGAAGACACCTGTGAAAACGTAGTCAAAATAACGCAGCACCTGCAGAGGAGCACAACACCATGACTTGTTATTATTCTATAAAATAAAGGACAGGAGAAGAACCAAACTGGTGTATAAAAAAGTAACAAACTGAGAACATGATGTCAGCAGGGATAGACATTAATCTAACTCTAATTGTCTTTTTAAATCACACAGTTCAAAGTGTGCATTGTCTAATCTGTCATGTTTTTTTTACTTATTCAGGAACACTTTTTGTCACACTTTGTTTCTTTTTCTGTGTGGTAATCATTGTTTGCTGTAAAACATAATGGTCTGTGATGAGTATTTCCAGCAAATTCAATATGAACACCAGAGGCCACCGTGAAAAAAACCACACGATTTTTCTGCATACAGGGGTTAAACAATGAAAGTGAAACACCTGGTTTTAGACCATAACATCCCTTTCAGACAGCTTCCTCTTGCGTCCACAGTTAATCCWGTTGGATGTGGTTGGTCCTTCTTGGTGGTATGCTGACATTACCCTAGATACTGTGGCTCTTGATGCATCACAAAGACTTGCTGTCTTGGTCACAGATGCACCAGCAAGACGTGCATCAACACTTTGTCCCCTTTTGAACTCTGGTACGTCACCCATAATGATGTGTGCGTTGCAATGTTTTGAGCCAAACTGTGCTCTTACCCTGCTAATTGAACCTTCACACTCTGCTCTTACTGGTGCAATGTGCAATTAATGAATATTTCCACCAGGCTGGTCCAATTTAGCCATTAAACCTCCCACACTAAAATGACAGGTGTTTCAGTTTCAATGTCTAAACCCTGTAGCTGCAAGAAAAAAAAGCTACATATCCAATAAAAGATGGAAAATTATAGAAAAACCTTTCCCAGCGAGGCTCACGAGGAATCATCAGAAAGAGTTTACTTGTAGTTACACTTTCGCGAGACTTTTTGATTTATTATGCGCTCACAGATGAGAGAACTGACAGCACACACATACACAGCGTAATGTCTCACATTGTTTCGTGGTGAGTCAGGCTTGACGGGGTCCTCTGCAGCGAGGGCGATACTGCTCATTGCAATGACAGACAGGATGCTGAACTCAAAGTATTTCAGAGTCAAGATGTAGTGACAGCACCTTCGGAACCTGATGCAAACACATAAATGCTGCATGTTTACACAACATTGTTCATGAAACACGGTGTTTTTTTATTAAGCAAAAAAAAAAAAAAACAACTTTAAAGAGCATTCAATCTCGTAAGTCAACTTTTTGAGTTTGACCCAGATTTTGCAGACATAACGTTTAAACTCACGGGTTGGTGGTAGACAGTATGAAGCAGGAACTGAAGGGTGGCATGCGTTTAGGGCTGTCTTCATCTTCACCTTCGTCCTCCCCCTCCTTCTCCTCGCTCTTCTTCTGGTCAGTGTTGGCGTTCTTGTTCACTGAGCACAACAGGGAAGGAAAGCAGAGAGGATAAACAAGTGACAGACTGACAGAAAGAGGTCAGATTCAGCGTGGAAAGAAAAAAACAAACATGAGACAGCTTCACCGGTTCTGTTCTGAAAACAAAGCTGAATAGAACTGAAGAGTTCTTTTATATCATGTCAAACAGTACAGTTCTCCGGTCCAGCTAAAATACTTTCTGACATTTAAAACCTTCGGATGGAAATAATGCAAAAGATTGCAAGTATCTTACCTGTAAATAATTTTGGTGATAAACTTCAATAAAGTAACAAAATTTGTTTAGAAATTAGTTAGATTCAAACTTTCTACCAAATCCTTACCACCATTTTGTGAAATTGACTTATTCCCACTTGGGTTGGGTATTGAAAGGGTTTATTTCGATACCGGTGCTAAATTGATACTTTCAAAATGGTACCGGTTCCTAAACGATATTTAAATCGGTACTTTAAAAATAAATAAATAAAGCACACACACTCACACAGAGGTTTATAAAGCAATAACTATTTCTGAGTCAAAGTCAGACTTGAAATTGACCACCTTATTAACTTAAAACCATTAATAATTTGTCTTTGCACCAAATATTCTTAAAGCATTTGTTGTAGGTGGAAGTTTCTGCATCTTATTTTGTAAAGTGACACCACACTTTGGACCATTTTGCTTTCGACATCTCGACTATAATATATACAGTATAACTGTTAACTGCAGCGGCACCTGTTCAGCCCCTCTCCATGGACTCGGTTCGATTCACTTTGGGTCGGGTCGGTTCTGCTCAGTGTCTGTGTCTCCACGCAGTGGGTGTGATAATGTGCAGACCATACGCAGCGGCTTCAGCTTTTGTGTTAAAAATAATCATAAAATAAAATGAAAAAGCTGTTGTGGTCTTACCGTTCGGACTTCACTTTTATTTATTTATTTATTTTCACGGTGCTGTTTAGCTAAGTGCTTGTGTAACCATGGGCGGCCAGTATGCTGAAAACCTCCTGTGATCTGCTCAGCTTCATCTCCTTCACCTCTCTCCAGGAAGTGTTTACAAGTTCTGCCTTTTTCATAAAGGCAGTGTTATTTCACCATGTCGTCGTATCGCACTGCGTGCTCGTATTCCTAAACAAAATCAGCTCTCTCCAGGAGCAAATTTGCTGTCAGTAAATCCAAGAGTTAATCCACGGGCAGAATTCTGCTGAAGTTAAAATCGTAAGCGTGCTGTGCTCGCTTCTACCCGAACCACCGGAGAGGAGGTTCTGAGACAGCCCGGCTGCGGAGCGTGCTTGGAGAGGCGCATTGGACCGAGACCGAGCCAAGATGAACCGCGGACAAGAAAGTCCGTGGAGATTGTGTGCCGCGGCTGTCACTGTTAACAGTGAACACCAGAGGGTGCAAATTAACAGCTTTCTTTGAGGCACCGAAATAAAGCACCGAAGTTAGAGATGTGTTTCGGTCCATGCACTACCGTGGATGTTTGCCCCAGTGCCATAATAGAACCGAGTTTCGGTACCCAACTCTAATTCCCACAGGGTTTCATAATGCTCACCTTGCAAGATGGCATTAGTAGAAGGGTACGGGTAGACGGGGGGCATGTCTATCGCTGTGTAGTCGGGTTTGGCCATGCTGGTCAGGATCAGGCTATCCATGCTGTGGAGCAGGGTGTGGGTGTCAGCGTCGTGGCAGTTCAGCAGGTTGTTCAGGTGGTCAGGGTGATCCGGGTGGTCGGGTGGGAGGGCATAAGGGTGTTCATGGGCACTGGCCAGCTTGCTGTTGTTGCGGAAATTGTCAAGGTCTTCGTTATACTGCTGTATGGGTCGAGTGGTAGAGAGGCTGGGACCGGTGCTGCAGTGCTCCCTGAAGGCAAAAATAAATAAATAGATAAATAAATAAATAAATAAATGAAGGGCCAGGGTGCATAAAAACGGGTAAAAAATGATGGCAAATAAAGAATAAAATGATAAAAGAGGGGAACATAAAATGACAAAGGAAAAGGGGTATGAAACATTAATAAAAACAATATACATTGTCAAATTAAACATTGCTCACCTAATTCTAAAAATAACTATTTGAATAATATTTAAACTTTATCTAAAGCCTTGCATGTAAAGTCAAAATAATTCCTGCTCAAAGACATTTTGCCTTACTTAAAAAACTAAGTTTTGACTGATTGCTTATTGTTAAAATTGTTGTTTAGTAATCACTTAACCACTTTCTGAACTAGTTTACTCTAGGCTGTATAAACTGTGTTGTTACATTTTACTGTCTTTGATGTTATTTTATTTCTTTATCAATTCAATTATTTTTATAATAAAATTTTAAAAGAAAAATGCATTCTCTCCTCCTTATTTGGTTAAACATTGTGATAAGAATTCCCTGTGACCACATACTCAGCTTCAGCTTCTGAGTCGATAACAGAAAGGTGAGCAAATAAAGTAATTATTGATCAGTAAAACTGACTCATCTTTAACAAGAGTAAATATGTAGCTGAGTAGAAAAAAATAATTATTACCCTTATTTTCCTCACTCCCATCTTGCATATTAAAGACACTCGATCAAAAACGAAAAAAGTTTTCACCAATTACAATTACATGACCAGTTTCTTTCAGAAGTGTCTGTAATCCATATGGATAATATGGCAAATAAAATATGACCCATCACATCGAAACGAGGATTAAGTCTAAAAGTGGTATATGTAGAAATAGGCAAATATAGTGTTTTGATTAAAGCACTTACAAAAATTGCATTTTGTCAAAATATAACAAATAAAAACCTTCTCAATGTTTCATTTGAATGAACTGTGTGAAATATAATCATAAAAAAATTAAGCACTTTTTTGAGCAGAAGCAACAAAAATACTGATTTTGAGGAAAAATGCCTTAAAATTTTGAGATTTTCCTTGTGAGCTAGCAATGTTTTTGTTTCTTTCCAACTGCGAAATGTCAATATTCAAATACTATGAGGTTTCCTGTTCATAATGAAATGAAAAAATTCTCATAAAAATTACATAAAATTTGGATTCCAACCAAATATTAATGTATTATCATAACCAACAAGACAAATTAGGGCATATCTCTTGTTCTGTTTATGATATCAGGATGATCCAGGTATCAAAATGTAGCTTTTAAAGCCAGGAATATGAAAATGTAATTAGGTCATTTTGACCAAATTTGATTTAATCCTCAGTTTGATATGATGGGTCACCTATGCAGAAATTCTGTCAGTAGATTTTTCTACTAAACCAACAGGAAAAAAAAATTGTCTGCCTACAGTGTCACTATAGATTAAAACTTCTTTCCTGGTTGTTCCTTTAGGCACGTGAATAATAAAAATTAAAACAGTTACTTACTTTCTGGTGCGATGACCTCGACATCGTTCCAGGTGGCGATGCCGTCTCGCCTTCCGTCCTTCTTCTTCACTTTTCTCTCCTTCACCTTCCGTCCCCCTGCACTGATGTCTTCTGCCCTCCTCCCCGTCCCCGAGCGCCCTGCGGTGCTGTCTGGACCGCCTCTGCTCGTTGTGCTCCTCTCCGCCCTCGCAATGAGGAGAGCTGCTGCACGCCTCCCTGTGCTCCCTGTTCCTGTGCCGGTGGCCCCGGTGGCTTCGGTGGCTGCGCACCTCCTCGTCCTGGCGGGGCTCCACGCTCCCTCCCAGAGACGTGCAGCTGAAACCGTGCTCCATGTGAGTCTCCGTCGGCCGAGGAGCGTCTACGGTGTCTGCGCCGGAGGCTTTCTGGCGGTGGCGGTGGTGATAGTGGCAGTGGTGAGCGGCACGGCGGCAGTGGTCGATGTCCTGGCGCCGATACTGCTGGTCCAGAGGCAGCTCACCAGGTTGGGTCTTGTTGGTGTTGTTGTTTCGATTGTCCTGTGGGTTCACCACCAGGGGCCTATCCAGGTGGGTTTTCACGTCACCACGTCCTTTCCGTGGAAACGACACCTGAGTCGGGGTGATATGGCGTTAACAGCTCAGTTACATATTTTAGAATTTCTTCATAGGAAATAGTTTTTTCATTATTAAAAGAAAGTTTGTATAACACGACGATTGCGGGGCAGTAGAAGTAGGAAGACATCTTTAGTGCACAGACTCTGGTTCCAAAAACACAACAAGGCAGCTTCTGTAAACCAGGTCCTGTCGGCTTTAGTTTCCAATGACAAGAAAATGTTGGAAAGTTTGGTCTATAAAATATACACTCTATAGATGTAATGCCGGTTTTCATACATCAAGTTTCAGTGTGTAACATTTCGGTCCTTCTAGTGGCATTCGTCGTCTTTCTTCACTTATAGAAAATGCTATACCCCATTAAAAACATTTATACACCAAACATTTTGCAGACATCTTCATTGATTTTTTTCCAAAGAGATTGTGCGATGGTTAGTTGGATGTGCTTTTCCACGGGTGCCACAAGATGTCACTACGTCACACTTTAAGACCTTTAATGTATGCAGACCCTAGGATTTGAAGCAAAGCTCAAGCCCCCACCCAGTTCTCTTGCAGAAGCCACACATGGATACAGTTCAGCAGTCAGTCATTTTTGGCTCCACATAAACAGTTTAAATTCAAAACTGTTATGATTTCTTTCTTTTTTTTGTCACAGAGCCAAAAATTGCCAAAGCAGCTTCTTAAGCAAACATACGGTTTGCTGAGCAAAATCCAGTTGACTCCCAATCGCCTTTTAACTCAAATTCCTTTTTCAGTCCGCTCCTGTTTTGAGTTGCCTTCCGTCTTAGAGTCTAGCTCTGGATTTCTCAGCATGCCCCACTTTAATAATGCATTGCTCCCAAACAGGCAGCATCAAGTCGGCCCACATAGCAGTGCAGCGGTAATAAATTTTCACGAGCTTAAAGGGATATTACACCCTGGAATTAAAACATCTGGTGAGTACAGCATGACCCAGAACACACAGCATAAAAAACAGGTCACACCACTCTGTTAGAAGAGACTTTTTAGTGCACAGGAATACACACTTCAACACAGATGGGCCAAAATGCAATTATAGAATAATTTTATATTTTGGGAGAAAAGCCCAAACTGACCTTACTGTTTGAAACATTCACGTAGTTTCAATGCAATTAAAAATCAGGAAATCTTTATGGACAGGTCTAGCTTTGATTTGTTGTTTCAATAAATAAATCTTTGTTGAGAAAACTCAACACTTCATTTTTTTTACAGTGCAGAAACATCTTTCACGATGAATTCAAACATATTTAATTTTGTAACGAGTAACTAGGTGTTACATTTTAAAATAAAGCAGTATCATTTTTAGCTTTAAAATGCAATGAAATAAAAGTAAAAGTAGCTATTTAAAAAATAATTGGTGAAATTATAAATCCTCAAACAAACTACTTAAGTACTGTAACGAAGTAAATGTACTTTGTTCCTATAAACCTCTGCCTTTAAAGGGATCCCCGATTAGTTGTAACATTGGACTTTATTTAGTAAACATATATTGAAACTGTAAAATAAAGACTGTAAAAATACTGTAGGATGTTTAGTTTTTATAATTTTTAAACTAAAAGTTAAAAAATATATTACACTGATGGGGCCATTTTATTTACATGCAAAGCATTCTGGGTAAATGATGATGTGGATAGGTCCTCGGTGTAAGCGAGCTATATCCACCCTGAAGGTTAATCTTGGACAATATCTGATGATCGACTCTTTTAAATGAAACCAGAGAGCGTTGACAGAGAGGAGAAGGTAGAAATGACTCAGCCTGGAACTGAAAATATAGATGGAGGACAACAGAGCTGCTTCATGGAAGAAGAACCTCAGCTTAGCCTGTTAGCTTTAGCGTTAGCCCCACTCAGTGCTACACATTCTCCTCTCGTCACTGAGGTCCTCCATCCACATGACAGAGAGGGGAAAGCAAAAATGACTCCTGCAACTGAAAATATGGATGGAGGACCTCAGTTTAGCTTGTTTGTCGCGCTAGCGCTGAGCTAATACATATAAGGCAATATAGCGTTGTTGCCTAAGACCGTGTGTATATATATGTATGTCTTGGGATGGGGACTCCTCACCTCCTCTCCCTCCCCTCCCACCTTCCAGTCATCCTGCTCCAGCTCGTTGTAGAGCGCCTCGCGGCTCGTCATCAGGTTTTGCCGCCGGATCTCGCTCGTTCTCTGCTCCCACACAGACTTATTGGTCTTAGCGTGGTTCTTCTGCTGCTCCTTGCTGTTGGCAGACGTGGAGAAATGAATGACAATAACCGCCACAGACCCAACCCAGCAGCTTTGAATTGTTCAAACGTTTGTGACTTTGAAAGTGGCAGTAGATTTATCGGAGCTTTGTTTTAAAGTGTCTCATTGTGAGCGTTTCTGCTGCAGGGAGCAGGTTTTAGACCGTCTGCCTCTCGCTTCTCGTCGCTCCATAAAGGCCCCCGTATCTCTACGCTTTTTCTTTTTGAACAATTGCCTAATCACATTCTGAAGGACGTTCTTGAGTTTGTCTGCATGCACAGTGTTGTGTGTGCATGAATGCCTGTCAGTCACAAATGTTCGAAAAGGCAGTTTTTTTAAGAAAAACAGGGCATAATTGAGTTTTTTTCCTGAATGTGTATAGAATTTCATTTAAAAAATAAAATGGACTCTTGTTTGTAAGGGTGTTAAGTATAAACATGAGAATAAATTTTGCAAACCTGCATGGATTAGAACTATTTAAATGCAAAGTTTGCATTTACACACAGGGTCTGTATATTTGTTTATATGTGTTTGTCTGTGTTTGATCATAATTAAATGTGTGTACTCACGCAGCGATAGACAAGTTGGCAGCAGACAGCGGGCTGACCTCTGCCACTTCCTTAGCCTTCTGCAGTGCTGTCTTTTGATTAGCTGCCTCTTCCTGTTCTTCTTCATCCTGTTGAAAAAGATGGAGTTTGTTACTGGTTTGACTTGTACAATAACATGGAGAAATAATTGGTCAAGCTTGACAAGCTAAACAGAAACAAACGGAAAGATCCCGTACCTTAGTAAGCTCCTGGGCGTTGGCCAGATTGTCAACAGCAATGGCCAAGAAGACATTCAGCAGAGTGTCTGTGGTGGTCAAAGTTATGGAAAATACTGATGTTTGTTAACAAGAGAAAGAGCTGATTGTTTCTCAGAAAGGAGCAAACTTGGTGGGGATGATACAGAAAAAGTCAGAAGGAATAGAACATGACAAAAAACGAGGATACAAATATGAAATTGGTTGCAAGGAACCAAAAAATTCAACTGAAAATAAGCTTTATAAAAGTTTGAAGGAACAGTTCAACAAAATTGCACATTTTTTGCTCTTTAAACCCAAACAATAAAGTCCAAATAAAACCAACCTTCCCTGTCAGCTGGTACCAGTACAAGATTTAAGTCCCGCCCCCTCCACGTAAACAAGTGGGACATTGTTAAAATAAAATAAAATAAAATAAAATAAAATAAGCCATAAGAAGACAAAAAAAACTGTACATAATGTGTTACACATGGAGTTTTTTTACATTATTTATTTAACCTTTATTTATCTGGTAAACTGTTTGAGAACCACTTCTCATTTACAAACATGACCTGGCACTGAGTGCATTGCAATATACAAACCTACATAATCCGCCATAGTAAAGTGATTGTAAATTTTAATCGTGATTGAAAAATTTAATCTATGCCCATGCAGCACTAAAATTATTCATAGTTAACTCGATTAATTTCACAGCCCTAAAATAAATATACCTGTAAATAGTTCTTTTTTTTGTTTGTTTTCAAGTTAGCTCTTACCTTGCAGCTTTCTGCTCAAGTATTCATTTTCTAATACATCTACTGTAGTTATTATTAATGCTCAAATGAAAGCTTGTAACATGATGGTTGTGTGTGGGAAAGAGAAGGTAGGACTTACAGCCCTAAATTGTTAGTGAGCAGATTCTCACTCCATTAAAAAAAAAAAGCATGGCAGCTCCCATATGCTGGATCTTCCTGCCTTCATTTCCAAACAAGAGGAAGCAGGAACCAATAATAGGGTCTATAATGTATACTATGAGGTCACTGGAGCAAACATAAAAGTTTTACAGCATATGATTTAACATTTACCATAGATGTGCTGTTTATTTTAGTTTAAAGTGATCAGTATATTTAGATCTATAAACAGTGTACATTTGCGTGTACTTCTATGAAAATGTAAAGGTAGGATACAGTTGCCAAAGAGTGTTAGAACAATGAAGAAGATAGAGAAGACCATCCCTTTGTCATTCACTCCTCCTTGGGACTCAATACCGTCATACATCACCATATTCCAGTCCTCTCCTGTCAGGATCTACAGAAAAATGAAGAAAACTACATTTTAATGCTAGAAAAATAAAACGTTTCTGGGGAAAATAAGTCAATGTCATAATAAAAACTGTTCAGAAGTGTTTTTTAAACATAAAATTTTGAAAATAAAACCAACAAAATGTATGTTGTATAAATTTATTCATTTAACTCAGCTTTAAATAATGTTATCCCCCCAAAAAAATAGTGGTTTGGTAAAGTCTGGGAAGTGTTTAATACTTTGTTTGAACAGGCTGTTTTTTTTTTATCTCCACTGAAAAATGTATTTTCTCTCACCACTTCATAAAGTTAACATTAACTACAGCTGACACCAATAATACAGTTAATTATTAACTTTATTTTATGCTGCTCTCATTATACAACATGCTTAAAGTTCATAACTTATGGTAAAAGTCATGATGTAAAAAAACAGTAGCCTGGTCATTTCTATGAACTTTTGAAAATACTAGTAAAAATGATCCCTCTAGTCTCATTCATGCGGATGATGGTAAAGATTGTGACCACAGCTAAACTAGAAAAAAAAACATTATTTGGTTGTTACATAATTGCATAAAACAAGCAATAGTTCAATAACGCTAAACATTTGGAAAATTATATTCTAAGTTTTAGTTATGAATTTGATACAGATGCTGATTGGAGAAAATTTTGTCTCAAAATTATTTTTTTGTTTTACATCTTATTTCATCTCTCTTTGTCATTTTGGAGAACATCTCTGGATGATGCCATAGGGGAAACTTTTAACTTTAACACAATAATTATGTCATAGATCCTGATATTTCATGTCTGAAAAGAGTCAAGACTCTTTGTTTCTTACCTGAAACACTGTCATGATCGCTGCTGCAAATGTGTCAAAATTAGTAGGTGGAGTTCCAGACTCAAAGTTAAATCTGCAAAAAGAAAAAAGAAAAAAGAAAAAAATATATATAAATATATAACAATGTGCAAACAAAAAGTAAAATGTAGTCATGCAATGTAAATATTGAGAAATGTCTTGTTTTAAAGTTTGTGCTGATACTGACTGTCCTCCGAATAGCTGCATCCCCAACAGGGCAAAAACCACAATGAAGAGGAAGAGGAGGAACAGCAAACTGACGATGGACTTCATGGAGTTGAGAAGAGAAACCACAAGATTTCGAAGTGGTGCCCAGTACCTGAGGACGAGGAAGACAAATGTGCAAAATGAAGATGAATTATCGAATAAAAAATGAAAGCAGAAATAAAAGTAAGGATAGGCATGAGTGCCAAAAAAGAAAAAGAAAAAGAAACTTTAAGGATGTAATAAAAATCAGGAATATGAAAAATGCAGTTGTTTGTGAGAATACCTTAAAAAAGTGGTGATGTTTCTGGATTACTCTTAATTTTGTTTTGCCTGTCGCTTGTTTTATCCTCTGATTGACTTCATATATTTTCATTTTGTGAAATAATTTGCATTCAAAGACTTGATCTCCTGCACTAAGTCTAGTAACTATCACAGAAAATGTGTGGCCCAAGTTTCCTATTGGCCTGCATAAAGCAAATCAGTGCCCATTTTAAAACAACAATTATCACATTGTACTGAGACATACAGTAACTATACAATCAGCCAACCAGGAAATCTGACCAAATCTCTTTCACTACTTTATCTTAGCATTATGCTCTTTTAGGTTTGTGAGCATTGTTCCTTATGTAAACGTGTATCCTGCATGAACCAAAACCAGATCAAAACTCTGTCTCCCAAAGACAGAGTCAAACAAAAGTCAAAATGCCAAGACATCAAAGGGATTAATACATTAGGACTGAAAAGTCAGCTTTTCTTATTTGTTCAATATTGAGCTAATGAATAGGCACAGAGTGAGACTTACTTGGTGACTTTAAAGATGCGCAGCAATCTCAGAGCTCGCAATACACTGATGCCAAAAGATGTGCCTGGTTTTATAGTGGCCCACACAACCTCAAAAACACTACCAACAATTACCTGAAAGGAGAGACAGTTAAATGTTAGTGTTCTTTTCCTCAAACACACCGTTGACATATTATTGTACCTCAAGGTTCTGCTTTTGGACCCTTTACTTTTCAGTATGTACATAAATGACTCTTGAAATTTGTCTACCTAAAGAAATGTTCCAGTTGTAAGTTGATGATATAGTTGTGTAACTTTTTGCAAAAACAAGCAGTATGTTGCACTAGATGGAACTTTAACATTAATGGAATAGAAGAGAGGAGGTTTATCTGGACATGTCCCACTAGATGGAGTCCTGGGAACGCCTTGGGATCACCCAGGAGGAGCTGGGAAGAAGGAAGCTTCCCTCGCAGCCCGACTAAGAAAAAGTGGTAGGTGATGTATGGATGGAACAGAACATTCGCAAATAAAAGTTCTAATTGCATATATTGTAATGAAAAATACATCGTATTTAGGGCCTTGCTTACAATACCCCAGATATTTTTAAAAACTGAAATATTCTGCTGTGTTTTTACCCCCTTTCCACAAGAGGGAGCTGAGCTGCAATGAAGCTCTCTGTCAAACTACTTTCTGGCATGGCCTATGGCAACAATCTCAGTTTTCTTGGCCACTATGCAGAGTTTGTGTCCTAAAAAAATGAGATGAGTGAAATTAGTTTTTTTTTCATTAGCGTAGCCAGACTCGACGAGGTAAGAAATTCAGTTATCTGGGAGCCAGCTATCCAGGTTCAGGTATGGATGCCGTTCCTAAGGAGGAGACCCCGGGGAACAGCTAAGACATATAGAGAGACTATGTTTCTCCGCTAGTCTGGGAACAATTTGTAATTCTCCTAGAAGGACTGGAAGAGGTGGCTGTTGGCCTTCCTCAAGCTGCCGATCCCGCAACCCGACTTCAGGACGAGCGGTAGGAAATGAATGGATAAATATTTTTTATGCAATTAACAAATGCCTCCTTATTGTGACATTGCACAATATAAATCTGTTTCTTAAATCTAAGAAGTGTTAGATTTTTTAACAAAACCTGATGGATTTGAGCTTCCTGTTTTCACTTAGTCACTGTGTGTGTGCGTGTGTGTGGGTGTGTGTTTGCGTGCTCACCGCACAGTCGAAGCGATTGAATGAGGAGTGGAAATAGGGCTGAATGCCCAGACCATACATCTTGATCATCATTTCAGACATGAATAAACCAAGGAAGATAAACTCTGCATAGACTAGAGGAGGAAGAAAGAGAGATGTAAGTAAAGAGGAAATGGAAATCAGATTGTTAGGGAAAAACTGGAGGATAAAAAGCAAAGCAAAACAAAACACAAAACAAAACAGAGCTTTGTAGAGAAAAACCTGATTAGAACATTTTAGCAGACAGTGAGCCAAGCCTGCAGAAAGGTATGCAAGAGTGTGAGTAACTTTCAAAGGTGGGCTGAATCAAGTGATGTACGGACACAAAGAAAAAACAGAATTTCATTTTCTAATAACACAAAAAATGAGCCAAGCATAAGCTGATTTCCTTGTACACGTGTGTATTCATGTTTGTTCAACTCAGCACCAACACGTCTACAGCTACATTCTAACTAAAGAATAGATAATTTGGATTTATTTAAGCTTATCAAGTAGAATTTGTTTTGTACAATGATTATGAATATATATATATATATATATATATATCATATACTGACATTGAGTTCTGCTACTTATTTCGTACTATTACCGTAAAGCTGCTATTGGCTACGATAACTGTATCAAGGCAGAAGATGAATGCCTTAAATCTACTGCAAATTCAATAGCACTCTTTAGAGGAAATGCACCATATGTATTTATACCATTTGTACACTTAATAGTACACTAAATAGTAAATGCTTTGTTTGCAAGTCCAGGAAGGAACAATAGATTTCAAGAATATAAACCTTTTAAAATAGGGTCAGGAAGAAAGCAAGAAGCATCAGCCTCAAGCATAAAATTAGCCAGCTGTCTAGCCTAAGATTTGCTGAGACTATAGTTGAGGAAAATAGTAATTTTTTGCATCAAATGCATTTAAATATGAAAACTACAATAATAATCAGAACCTAAAAAGACAAACAAAATCTTCAAACAAATACAAACCAGTGTTTCCCCTACCATTGTACAAGGAGGGAGGCCTGCCCCTAACAGAATGGGCCACCCCACCTAACACCCCCTCCATCCGTAAAGTTGAGGGGTTGTTTAAATTACAGGTGTAAATTCTGATGATGTGAACATTCACTCACTCCTAAGTCCATCTTGCTAATTTAATGATTGGCTTCTGCTCCAGGAGCGCAGATCATTTTCAGCAACATGCAGAAGCTTACGTGTATGGCAGGCCGTTTTTACATAAAATCAGCTTCACCATACTTACATTCCAGATATCTGAAATTGGTTTATGACTAGACGTACGTATTAGTTATTTAAGTGAGAGAGATAAATAAAATTCAACTAATGCAAATTCAATTGCAGACTTCTTCATGTTCTGTAATTTTTATTTTAAAAAAAGCTGCATTTACCTTTAATGATTAATGGTATTGTTTCTGATATCAATCTTCATTCTATGGTCAAAGCCCCCCCCCCCCCCCAACTACTCTAGGGGAAACACTGCAAACTGTATTAAAAGTACCAGCTGAATGTTTGATTGTGTACATTTACAGTAGTTTGTTTACTCACAGAGAAAGTCTGAGAGGAGCTCAGGCTGGTCATAATGCACCACAGCCACACAGATGGTGTTGAGACCCACCAAGCAGAGCACCGTCCAATAAAAGGCCTGCGTCTTCACCATCTTACGGATGAAGAACCGCATTCGACGCTCATTTTTACTGTAATTGGTGCCGTCCTTCCCGCTCTTTATACTAGAGCGTGCAAAACCTGAGGGAAAACAAACAAATGTTAAGACATTTTTTAAAATCTTGTTCCCTCTCGGTTAATTTTTTTTTTAAATTTTGAACTAAAAAAAGGAAAATATGTTTCTATACTTATTATCCATCTCTCTTTTTTCGTACCCACTGCATCCTCCATGTTGTCCTCCCCTTCCTC